GAACATAAGTCAAAACAATCAGTGCACGCCCACGACACCCACAGTCTTCTGTCTAATGAGGCCGACGCTGACGTTCCTCCTCCTTTATTTTACTGTTGTGTTTCTGCTGAATAACCATTCACACGTGTTTATTCGTTACTTCCTGATAAGTGTGAATTAAGCTGATTTATTGGGACGCAGATTTTTCTCTCGGAAAACATCTGCGTTTCTGACGCCGTCGTTTTTCATTTAATTTTTTTTATCTTATCCTCCATTTTTTTCTTTTTCTATTCTTTTCTTTATCAAGTCTTTATAAAACTATTTCTGATAATATCAGTTCGTCAGCTTTTAGCCACTGGACAAGCTGCTAACCTGCTGCAGGTCTCTTCTCCCGGTCGGATGATGCGGCAGATATAAAACCGATTTATGTAGACATGCGTCCATATTATCTTAATTTATTGTCTTAATTATTGTTTGAATTAACTCAGTAAAACCTTTTATAGTTTCTCAGGGATAAGAACATTTTATATCGACGTCATATTTGAATATCCAATAAACACTTTGATAACTCTCTGTTGGTTTTTAATGTTTGTTCATGTCTCGTATCGTGCCGGTTGAGAAAGGGATGGAATCGTTTCTTTTTCCCATCACCCTGAGTTCTCCTGATTGGTCGCTGGTTGACGACCCAGCATGCACACAGTGTGGTTTAGTGGCTCGGGTCAATCAGGACAATAGCAATCAGCGGAATAAACAAAGTGGCTCCAGCAAGTATCCAGGCCCCGTTTCATAAGCTGTGTGTAGATTTCATGGTAAATGGATGAATTTGCCATTTTGCTCAAAGTCAATTTGTTAAAAATCAAAAACTAAAAGTTGTTATTTTACAAATACATTCAAACCCTTGATGTTTCCAGAACTTCCAGAAAGACACGACATCTCTTCGATCATGTACGTTCACTAAAAAACGAAACCATCAAATCCAAAACGTCTCTGACGGAGTCGTCATCTGCAGAGCACCGATCGAGCGAAGAGCGTCTTTGTCCCCAGGTTTCAATAACGTGAAAGAGAGGACGTTTGAAACGATCACGATGAGTTGGCCCCACTGGTTCGATTCCCAGTCTGCACGTTCTCCCTGTGTCTGGGTTTTCTCTCGGCCTCCTCCCACAGTGTTAATTATAAACTCTGCACGGCCACCAGACTTATTCACCGTTCTTCCTATTCGCCTCTTAGTCTTCAATTTTCTAAATTACGTTTTTAAGCTAAATTAATTCTGCTGTTAGTTTTAATGGAAACATTTTTCCTTCTTCTCGCTGAATCTTTTCATCGTCGGCAGAGTTGAACCGTCCGTCCACTGCATCCTGATTCTGTTCCCACCACAGGGGGCGTGAGCTTCAATCTTAGATCTTGTCTCCGTGTGAAACATCAGACGGTTCCCAGTTCATCCCGCAATCACAACAAATAAAGAGTGGGTGGCCAAAAGTATGTGGACGGAGCTGTCAACAAGCTTTTTTTGTTTAAGGCCCTCCATGTTAGCCAACGGGACATGGACAGAACAGAAAAAAAGGAGCAAAGCACAAAGCAAAGTGTTTGTTATTTCAGGTCGTTCTCTCACTGATTTCATTCCAGTGCTTGTTGCCTGATTTACTCTTGTGTCTGTCTCAGAGTCAGGAGGATCGAAGTTCACCATCGGGAAGTCCGTGTGGCTGCTGTGGGCGCTGGTCTTCAACAACTCTGTGCCTGTGGAGAATCCCAGAGGAACCACCAGCAAGATCATGGTAAACACCTGAATCCTCCTCTGTCCACACGTCCACACGTCCACGCTTCATTTTAAAATGCGTCCACGCCGCTCCGATGTTTCAGAGACACTAAAAGTTAAAAAGTGTTTTCGAATTATCTCCTAAATGATTCACTCACAACAAGTTTGGTGCAAATCCATCTGTGAGTTTTCTAAGTTATTTTATACACAACTACACACAGACAAGTGAAAACAGGGTAATTATGTCGGAATATACTTTATCTCTAAGTATTATTCTCTATGTCGAGTATTATCTGGTGTATATGTCGGATTCTTTCAGATGTTTAAGTTGTATAAAATATTTGTTCCCAACATTTAAATTTAAATAAAACAATGAATTTAATTTTCACCTGTTGATCACAGCTACAACGCTTATTTTCTGCAGTTTTAATTTCGACTGTTTACACACACACACACACACACACACACACACACACACACACACACACACACACACACACACACACACTCTGAAACCCCCCTGACGTAAATTATAAAGACAAAAAGACGAGAGAGGTTTTATGAGTTGATGCAATCAGTGTGCGAGTGTTCAGTCACTTGTTTCACCGCGGTGGTCTCCGTGATACCTGCGGTTCCTCTCTGCACTCATGGCATGAAAAGAAAAACGAGTCGAGGCCGTTTGCCCTCTCGACTTCCTCGAGTGAAAAAAACCACGGGGGTGAGAAACTCCAGACTTTTCTTTTTCTTTTCACAACAACTCGAACGACCTCAGCCGCTCATTAGCTGCTCAGAAGACTCCGAGGGTCCGACCGGAGCAGGGAAGCTGATTGTTTCTATTGTTTCTGGTTGTTTTTGTTCAAACTGCAGGTTGAGAAGGATTAAACGTAAAAACTATTATTTCCTTTCATTCAGTTACAGACGATTTTAAAAATAAACTCAGGAAACAGGTTCGTCTTTAAGAAAAATCACTTTCCAGCAGCTTCACTTTAAAATAAATCACTTGAATCTTTAATGGGTCGATCGTTCAGTTTCCTTTTTTTTTTTGTGCATTTTACCTGCGTACGACAATCCAGGGTCAGCAGCGACTGTCCCAGCATGCACCTCTGGATGACTGACCGCCATTTATTATTGACGTGAAACATTAAAGTTTGAAAAGGCTTTACGTCGGGAGTCCGTCCTTCAACCCCCCCTGTTCCTTCAACGCTCCCGCTGACTGAGATTCATTTTCAAATTGTGCCTCGCGTGCCAGAGCGAAGAGTTTACACTCATCGTGGTGTTCATTAAGAAAATTATGCAAATTAACTTTTGGCGTGCCCACCGAGCTCTGCGGACTCAAACAGGCGACTGTAATCCACGTCTCTGCTCCTCGCCTCTTGGCTGAAAGTCAACGGTGCGGCGTCTTACAGCAATTAAAGCAGCACTTGTGAACATTCCACGTCTCTTCATGCCAAGTCCTTAATCCGCTCTCGTTGTGCTTGACTACAGTTTGGGTCAGCTTGTGTGTATCCGGCAGCAGAAAGTGTTTTCAGATCCTTCACCTCAGACACAGCGACACGTCCTGTCAAAGAAATTCCCGATGTCTTTAAAATTCCTCATCGTCGTCATCACGGCCTGAAGGAAAAGAAAGTGACGTTTGATATTTTACAACTAAAACTTCATTATACAGAACTACAAATTAAAAAAAACACACCGTGCCACGTAACTTGTGTTTTATTCTTTTTAAAACATTCGTGTGTTTTTGTGCGAATACAAATATAAACTTAAAATAAATGTAGATTCATGTCATCGTAACAACCAGGAGCCTTTTCACGGGACGTGTTTATAAAAGGCAGCGTCCTGATAAATAAATATATAAAATAAATATAATATATAAACACTACCTGCAATACGCTGTGATTATACTCCCCCTCCTCCCTTCTCTCCTCTCTCTCCCTCGCCCTCACACATCGGAGGCTGCAGGTCGACTCAATTATCTGCACCAGCGACTATAAACTGAGCCACATGTGTCACACGTCTCTGCCGCCGGACTGAGATTGACGATGCGTCAGGCGTCAGGCTCTCCGTCCACACGCACACACCTACACATGGAGGCTGCGATACCGTTAAAGGTCGGGAACACGCACGGGTAATGTGTGACGGCTGCGTCTTTCGTGTGCCGCATCACGATCCGTTACACCGTCCCCTGTTCCAAAGGTGACGCAAACAAACGAGCCGGGGGAGACGGAGACATCCAGAGGTTCAGACTCTGGAGACGAGGGGACGGGCAGGGAGAGACGTGTCCCCCCCTGCTGTGCGCACCCCTGTTGTTGGATAGAGGCACTTTCTCCAGGAGCAGAGGATGTTGGTACAATATGAAGACACAGCGGGGGGGCGAGGGCGGGACGTGGGACATCGTTCCAGTAAGAAAAGGACAGAAGCTGACGTTAGGTGACAGATACGACTCTTCCCTCCAGGCAAGACGGAGCAGTGGGATGTCACAGAAGTGAAAATAGTGTCAGTGGCGTCTTGAAACACCTGCACACCTGTCAGACCCTGACTCACTAACCTTCCTCCTCCTCCTTCTCCTCCTCCTCCTCCTCCTCCTTCTCCTCCTCCTCCGTCAGGTGCTGGTCTGGGCTTTCTTCGCTGTCATCTTCCTGGCGTCCTACACCGCCAACCTGGCTGCCTTCATGATCCAGGAGGAGTACATCGACACGGTGTCCGGCCTGTCGGACAAGAAGGTAGGAGGGGATGGATGGAGGGATGGATGGATGGAGGGATGGATGGATGGAGGGATGGATGGATGGAGGGATGGATAGATAGATAGATGGATTCAAGAACAGGTGTTTGCCCAGATGGACAGATTTAGCAAGAAATGTAGCCTTTAAGAATCACCAGGGCCCAGATGGAGGATCCAGACCCACACAGGTGGTGTCGGTGAAGGATTTTGTTTTTATCTTTGAGTCTCTTGGCGTTTTGGGTCCGGTCGAAATGTTCACGGTTCATCGAATCGAGAAAAACAAGAAGCTGGCGAAGGCCGATGGTCGGCGTGGCCTCTGGTTTAGTGTGAGGCTGTTGTCATGGCGATGTTTCGACCGTGTCAAACCTCTGGTCGCCTGGTGGCGTGAACAGAAGAATGAGGTCGTGCTGAGTGTTGTTGCAAACTTGAAAAACCGTAAAAACGTTCTCTGTGTTTTTCTCTTCAGCTGTTTCTCGGTGCAGCTTCAGCAGAATCTACAAAACTGAATCCTGCAGCTGTGACACTTTAAACTCTGCCCCCCCCCCCCCCTCCCTCTTATCGACTTTGATCTCTCGCCTCCTCTCCCCCTTCTTTCCTTCACCTCTCTTGAACGTCCTCCCTTCCCTCCGTCGCTCTAACCTCCTCCGTCTTCTCTTTTCCTCTGGTTGCAGTTCCAGCAGCCGACGGAGCAGTACCCGCCCCTGCGCTTCGGCACGGTGCCGAACGGCAGCACGGAGGAGAACATCCGCTCCAACTACCCCAACATGCACCAGTACATGATCCGCAACAACCAGAAGGGAGTGGAGGAGGCCATCGAAAACCTCAAGACCGGGTGAGCAGGAGAAAAGAGAGAGTTAAAATAATTAGGTTCTTTGAAAAGAGCTTAAGTGATAAACCAGTTTTCTATAATTCCTGATAAGAAGAGCTGAGGAATCTACTTCTAACTTTCAAACTGAGTATCTCTACCTTTAACACGTTCTGATGTTTTAAACTGAACCAACAATGGAAGGAGAAAAGTTCCTCCTCTCAGTTTTTGAAGCCGGATCAGTTGAACTTTAATCATTTTCATTGGTTCGTCAGATGAACTCACTCGTTCACGCCAGTAAACGTCTGAGTGGTTTGAATGTGACACGAGAACTGAATTCATTTTTCTTCACTGGAACATCTCAAACTTCCTCCAGGGCCCAACGTTAAATAACTCATCTTCTTCACGATGCTGCAAACAAACAGACGAATAAAACCAAATTTAAAAAAACAGTTTCAGTTCATGGAACCACGTGTGATTGTTGAAGTAATTAAAACGTTAAAAATACACAAACGTTAAAGTTTTTAAAACGAAAGAAATCTTTCTCGCTGCGTTGCAACCGTCATCAAGGTGCATTCACCTCCTGTGTGTTTCATTTCTTCTTCTTCTTCTTCTTCTTCTCTTGATATTTCATCACGTCTCCTCCTCCTTCGTTCACTGACCGAAGCATCGAGACTGTTTCATTAAAAAAAAAGAAACTCTTATAATCCTCCTTCAAAGTTTCTCCTTCAATCCACGAGTCCGAGCTGCAGCGTTCTTCGCCAGCCGCTCTCACTTTAAGAGCCGTGTCATAACTGCAACCAGCCGTTCTCCACTTCTCCACGCATACATGTGTTTTCATATTTAATTTGAAGCGAGCGCCGCGGTCCGTGCCACGTTTCAATTACAGGACCCTCGTCTGACTCCGGCGCGGCTCCGCTTCGCCTCGGGAGCTTCGGCTAATTGGCATAATCTGCGGCGCCCCATCAGGATCGTGGCTACCAAACGAGACGAGAGAAGAAGAAGTGGGAGGGAAACAAAGTCGTTCTAAATAATACATGTTAGCAGCCGCCGCAGTGCGGGGAGAGAATCCCGCCATGTCAGCATCGGCTGCCACTCAGGCGTCCTGGACAGGAGGGGAGTTTATTATCCGCCTGCGGAGCCGGAAAAACACACAAAGCACCGCCATGAAACACACTCCCGCCCGACGTGTTCGCAGGGGGAGGGGGTGAGGAGGGTGAGGAGAAGGGGGGGAGTGATGTTGGGACAAGCAGACGCACATACATTCACACGTTTAGCTCGAAGACGAGCGGCGGCCGCAGTCCTCTGCAGATTTGTCGTAGCGTGTTATTGAAACTCCCATGATGCATTTTTTTTTTTTTTTATCATAATCCTTACTCATCCTTCTTGTTCCTCTTACATCACTTTCTCCCCCCACCCCCCCACTCCCTCCCACGGTCTCTCCACCATCTCACTCATTATCCGCTGTTTATCTCTCGGTGGTTATCGCTGTCGAGGTCCCGAACACCCCCGCCCCTCCCCCCTGTCTTTGCCTCATTTACTCTCTCCTCTTCCTTCCTTTTCTCCCTAATCCCTTTTTCTTTCCTGACGTCCTCCTGCCCTTTCCTTCCTCCCTCGTTAACTCCTTGCTCCCAGCTCCTCCAACTTTTGCTTCTGCTTTGCACTTCCTCCCCTCGTCCTCCCTCCCTCCCCCCCCCCCGTCATTATCTCTTACCCTCCCGTCACCCACCTCCACCCCTCCTGCACCGTCTACCCTCCTCTTCACCTCTTTCTCCAATTTGCGTCCTCCTCTGCTCCGGGGGAAGACTCTCTCCGCTGCAGCTTCAGGAGCGAGAATATAAATGTCCGTGAAGAAGAGGAGCAGGTGAAGTTACGCTCCCGTCATTAGATCCTCAGATTTGCATCAGCACTTTGAACTGAGCTCTGACATCGGGTCCATTATTTCATGAACTGAATTTTACACAATCTCTCTTTTCTGCTCGTTCTCCGGTGAGAAGATTTATTTGTACAGTTCAATCTATCGATCACTTTTCAGTCAGTGAGGAAATGATTGAAAGTTTAAAGTTTCCTGTCGACCAACGATCCAACACCTGAAAACGGAGACGTGACTCAATGAATGAAAACTGAAATTATACTTTATAATTACGTGGAATCATTTGTGGTTGATGCACTTCAGCACTAATGATTCCTTTCTTTAAAGAGTTCATCCACAGATATAGTGTCACGTGGTGCCGGTGGTAATTCGGAGCAGCTGAAACTCGTCGGTTTGATTCCGTAAATGTCTCCTTGACGATGACGGTTGTCGAGCAGCAACAAACGTCACTGACGACAGATATTCACCAGTTGTTTCCAGACATTTCAAACGGATGAAATATTTTTTATACTTCTGTTCTTTCACCGGATCAATGTTTTAAATCTCACAGAGCTCCTCGGTCATTTTCCCAAACGAGTAACTTGGTGGAATTTGAGAATACGAGACGTTCTTTAGAAACGAAGCGGCTGCAGACGGAGAGAAGTGAGATTCCCGCTCCTCGCTGCACTCGGGTCGCTGCTTTGTATTCTGCTCTGTGGAGGCTGTGGTGGGAGGAGGGCTGACAGATTTACCTTCACCATGATGGATAACTCTCTGTGTGATTGTTGAACGATGCTGCAGAACCACGTCGAGGAAGAAGCTGGTTTTGCTTCCAACGAGTGTTTTCTGTCTCTGCATCGCTTTATCCATCATCTGTCATTTTGTTCACCAGTTGCATTTTCGTGCGTTGTCGTTTCGGCTCCACGTCGGTGATTTCCATTTCTGTTTTGTAATTTTCCCCCCTGCAGGAAACTGGATGCCTTCATTTATGACGCCGCAGTGCTGAACTACATGGCCAGGAAGGACGAGGGCTGCAAGGTGAGGAGCAGATTTCAATCTTTGCACAGTAACACACACACACACACACACACGGAGGCAGCCATCGCTGAAGGCGTGTTAGCCTGGAGCTACTGTGAGCAACAAAACTGCAACATCCTCAGTGTGCGGCATCTTCTCCTGAGAGACGCACAGCGAGCACACGAAACGAGAACACGATGTACAAGAGCTGCATTAAACAAATCGAACACAGCTGATGCTTTTTGATTCGTCCCTCCTGGAGCCGGTTAATATCGTCACTTCTGGACACTGCTGCCGTTGATTTATTTATAAGTTAGAATTGGAAACTGCTCCCACTGCAGACGTAAGACCTGCCCAGTGATCATTTGTAATAAGGTCTGTGTGAGGCCTCCGCTCCCAGCAGCCTCATACAACAGCCGCTGCTGCAGTAATTATTACAATTGATGTGGATCTTTATTAATTCCTCCACTGAAACAATATCCCACACTCCAGCTCAGGGATTTTCGGGGGGGGAGCCGATATTAGAGCCGAGCCAAATGATTTGCATTTATGTGACAAAATAAATTACAGCAAATTCTCATTGGCTCAGAAAGAGCGTCTGTCTCTGTTGATCTGACTCCAGGGGTTTTTTGTTGTTGTGTGTCCGTGCGTGTGAACGTTTGTGGGGTTTAACGTGTTTTATTCCACAAGGTGATGACCATCGGCTCTGGCAAGGTGTTCGCCACCACGGGCTACGGCATCGCGCTGAACAAGAACTCCCGCTGGAAACGACCACTGGACCTGGCTCTGCTGCAGCTGGTCGGAGACGGTAAGACAGGAGGGGTCGGGGGTCGAAGGTCAGACGGGTTTGTCTCGTAACATTTTGCCACATATTTATTTCTATAAATCATCTAGAAGACATAAAGAACTATCGCACATTAGTATGAATATAACCAATAGAAAGCTCTGCTCATTTAGAAACATGAGTTCAGGCGTCAGGGTGGAACAGTGGCTAGCACCTCACAGGAAGAAGGTTCTGGGTTCGAACACACGGGAGAATCAGGGCCGTTCTTTGTGGAACGACCTGGTGAATGTGTGATCCGTCCAGAATGTTCAGGACCCTGAATCCATGCGTGGATGGAAACTCTCTCTTCCCGTCACTTGAAGATCCAGTTGGTGTTTTTGCTGCGTGGACGTAAAAAAACCCTCCGATCGGCTCTTCTCCGTCAAACAGCTGCCGGCTCAAGTGGCCGTGCACGTTCTCATTACAGCGACAGATTCCAGCGCTTCTCTCCTCTGGTTTTCCACTAGAGACGGAAACTTGTGGAAAACAGTCATTAAGGTTTTTGAATGATGAGGAGCATTTGGTAAATGATGTATACAGAAGAAGTGATGAGGGGTGAGGATGAGGGGAAGATGTGATGGGTGAGGAATGAAAGAGGAGGATCAATACAGGAAGTTAAAGGAGAAGGAAGGGAGGTGTGATTTCTGTTAAACACGTCCGACACACACACACACACACACGTCTTATCTCTTTGATTACACACGTCCCTTATCCACCACGCCACCACGCCACCACACCACCACGCTCTAGAGTCGTTGGCTGGAGGCGTCACGTTTTCTGAATCTCGCCGACTCGACATCTCAAACACCTGGAGGCAGTTTCTGCAAATTTGACTTGGACTCAGAAATGAGCTCATCAGATTCTGGTGGTCAAAGGTTAAAGGACACTGAGACGTCAAGTCACATGTTTTTGACAAAACACACACGAACTGGGTCTCGCTTTGTTAAATACAGTTTATTAGAAGTATTGAGAACTGGACACTCGGACACGTGATGTGTTTTGAGCGTGTGACCAGCGCTCGTCAGCAGCTGCGGCTCGTCAGGTTCTTCCAGTCGAGATCGGCTGAACTCTGATGAAACAGCCGCAGCTCTTTACTTCAGGTTTGACTAAAAAGGTTGGGTTCATTATTTCCTGGGACATTTGGGATTTTTTTTTTATGAAATTCGTGGCTGATTTGGATTTGGGCATGGGTTACCACGGCAACAGCAGAAGATTTAAAGCATTCACATCACACGCCGCCTGTTGACCGGTGTGAGCGAAGTGCGGCTGACCTCCTGTCTACTGGAACAAAGAGACAGGAGCCCGCTGCATTCACGTCCGTCTGATAAAAGAAAACTCCTGGAGACGACCTGGTCGTGTGTCGAGTCCCACTTGACTTCAGCAGAGAGAAATAAACTGTCCTCAAAGTGACGAAGGGTTCGAGACGCAGGAGTCCGTTCGACTGCTGACGCCGCAGCTGCCGGACTCAAATCCCACCGCTCCGTGTTTCCAGAGTTCTGATTCATGCTGACTGAGCGAAGCCAGAAAAAACACCTCTCACGTAAAAGAAAATGTGAATGCGAAACAGCTTTTGGCTCAAATGAAAATGCAGCAGCCGCAGCAGCCGCAGCAGCCGCAGCAGCCGCAGCAGCCGCAGCAGCCGCACACCTTCGGGAAATGAATTTCCTTTTATTTTATATTCTCTTTTTGTTCAGATGACTTTGAGCCTCACAGACCCGGATGTTGAATCAAATATTTCTGAGAACAGTTTTTGTGTTTTTCATGTTTTGTTCAGTTCCACAGTGAAACCGAAGCGTCCGGTCGTTTTAAGACACAAAAGAGATATTTTTCGTCTCGACCCTGAAACATGGAATTTATGTTTCTTTGTATAAACCTTTGACGAATAATCTCATTTAATTTTTTTTTTTATCCTTTTGATCGTTCGACTCTGCTGCTTTGTAAATGTTCCTCTGAATAACACTGATATCAGGATGTTGCTCCAACGAGGTCACCTCAGCATTTATCTTCCTGTGGAGAAGAGAAAAATAAAATGTTCTGTCTTATTGTTAAAGGTTCAGTGTGTAAAGTTTAGTGACATTTAGTCTATTAAGTTAACAAAATGATATTTGTAAAAGTATTTACTTCAAGTGTGTTGGTGTTGCCACATTTTGAGTATTGTCGACTAATAAACTTGCCGTCGTGACGCTGGTTCTTTCTTCTTGAGGAGGAATTCCAGCTGAACCTTTGTGTTCTGAGGCTTTATTCCATTTCTCTTGATGCAGATTGAATCCAGGAGAAATAATGTTCAATGATTCTGAGAGGATTGAAAACCAAAAGGCCTCAACCCTCCCCTGCCGACCTGCAGCTCTCAGGGGGATGTTGGAGTCGGATTGTTCACTAATCACAGTTAAACCGTCAGAAGTCAACAGAAGCCAACATGGTCTCTGTGTGAAGCTCTGGATTTTCCTCCTGTGTGTTTGCACGTCTGCTGCTTTCACGTGTTCGGACACTTGAAGCCTAAAGATTTCTCCTCCAGGAGCAGGAGGAGGAGGAGGAGGAGGAGGAGGAGGAGGAAGAGCTGGGCAGGGAGCGAGGAATCACCTGAGAACTTGTTGAAACCTCGATGAATTAGATCACGGGAGTGAGCCGCACACAGAGTGAACATTCAGGACTTGAGCGGCGAGCGGAGTGATGGCAGACGGGGTCGCTCCGGTCGGGCCTGGTTTAATTCAGCCGCCAGGGAACGTTTGAATCCCGGCACACGGCTGCTGGGGAAGCGGGATGCGGCACGCGGCGATGCACGCCGGAGATCTGAGTGTTTGTGTGAGTGGATTTGATGTTTGAGTCAACATGGCCGAGTCATGGCGGCTTAATCAGTGCGGCGGGCGCTTCCAGACAGCGTTAATTAACCCGGAGGTCGATTAATATTGTAACTGTGAGCTGTGGGAATTGGGACGTCCTTTCACGGGGACATCTTTGTACTGTGTGTGTGTGTGTGTGTGTGTGTGCACATCTGTCTGCATCTCTCTGTAGATTTGATCCTGGTTCTACTTCCCACTGCCTCATTCTGTTTGATTAATGCATTGATGGCAAGCGCTCTCCCGTTACGCTGCAGCTCAGAGTGTGTGTGTGTGTGTGTGTGTGTGTGTGTGTGTGTGTGTGACAGTTTGAGGAGTGTGATGTTTGTGTGCGTTCCTCTCTTTCATCTCCGCTGCTCCGTGGCGTCGCTCTGCCCTCGTCGTTCACAGGCCTCCTCAAAGGCTCCTCTGTCTCCGTCACTGCCTCGAATTCCCTGCTTCTCTTTTACGTTTCAGAACTTTCACCACAACCTCGGTCATTTTCTATTTGATTTACTTTTTTATGACCTTTGGCAGCGTTTTGTTTCTCAGTTTGTGAATCCTCAGGCATATTTTATATTTTTGCAGCAGTGGTTGGACTTTTTTAAAACACATTTAACTCTAATTTTTCACCTGTAAGACACAAATAATTAAAATCTGGTCTAAACTCAAATTATCACAGAAAAGTCAACTTTCAGAATAAAAGATTGTAAATGAAAATAGAGGTTTTGGAAAATAAAAAGTAAAACTGCATGCAGAGGATAAACACAACATCAGAAATGAAATAAAAGGAAACACAGAGTTCAAAGTTCATATACGAACGTTAATCTCCTGAACTGTGTTTGGAAAATGATTTTTAAAGGATTAAATATCTGCATCGTCTTTTATTCTTGTATTAAACAGAATTTACAATAGACATATATATATATATATATATTTGTACTCTTACACAGAAAAACCTTTGAGTACTTGCTCCACTAATTTGTAGCGTAGATGATGATGTTAATTTATTTTTATTTTAAACATCCCTTCAGTTCAGCGCAGCCTAATGAGCTCGAACACGTATTTAACTAACTAAACCAAACTTATTTCATTCCATCTGATGTTTATTCAACTAAACTGCATCTTTTCTTTCTTTCATTTTCTTTCTTTCTTTATCACACAAGCTCAGTTTTCTCCTCATTTCTCTCGTCCGCGCTGCATTTCATCATCTGTCCCTCGTTTTTTTTTGTCATCACACAATTCACTCGATTCCTCCTCCTCCTCCTCCTCCTCCTTCTTCTTCTCTCTTCACCTCCTCAGCTTTTCTTCTTTCTTCTCCCTCGGGGGGTTCAGACACCTTCCTCTCTCCTCACAAAGGGGCTGTTATCCCTTATTTTTTATTTATTTCCTCTCTTTCCTCCTCCAGTGCTGTTTTAACTCATTCTCCATGGAACGTGTCCTCCTCCCCTCGTTCATCCTTCATCCTGCCTGTCGAATCACTTTCTCTTTCCTCTGAACTCCACACCTGCTTTTTTTTTCTTCTTCCCTCTCTCTTATCTCGTGATTTAATTTTCTCCCGGCTTCTCCTCTTTTCTAACCTCCTCCCTCCACTTCTTCTCTTCCAGATGAGATTGATATGTTGGAGCGTCTCTGGCTGTCGGGGATCTGCCACAACGATAAGATCGAGGTACGGTTTCTCACTCGTTTCCTCCGTCAGCCTGGCACACATTCATCCGCTGCACTATTTCTGGAATAAAGCTGAACGTGGTCTGACCTTAAGTCTTGTCGTCGACTGTGGGAGGGATAAGTGGAAGAGTTTTTGGTTTCACAGGCGCTGGTTCTGATTCTACTGCAGTAATATACATAAACCAGTGTTTATTTTTGATGAGATCCAATGAAGCCTGACGACTCACTCCGACCTTCGACCTAATTGATCAATATGATATTTTTATGCAGCAGAGTTTTTTGGCCGGCTTGATTCTTGATCTGTCCTAAAAGTCAAACCGAAAAACATGACATGCAAAAAAAGGTATTTCAGTGTCACACAAACTGGAGGGAACAGTTTATTTCTGTAAGTTGTAAGAAAATCTGTGGGTGAACCTGTTTTTCTCGGAGATTAGGTTTTGTCCTCTATGATTATGTTCTAACATCTGCCTTTCAGATGTCACCCCTGCTTTAAAATTATAACCTCGCAATCCAAGTTCAAGTTATATTGTTCTGACTTTGCCCGACAACACAAACGAGAAGATGCTACGGCTGCGAATGTAAATGTCCGTGCTGTCGTTGGGTGCAGATGCCCCCCCCGGGACGCCACAGCCCTTAATATTAATATTCATTCATTGGACAGTTAATGCAGCCTGGCTTTGGACGAGAGCTGCGGATGTTGAAACTGAATAAATTAAACCTCTTTGTTTGATGGGAGCCTGATAATTTGTGGTGACTGGCATGTTTTGGTCTCTGCATCAGTTCTGAGTGCAGAGGCTCTAAAACACCACAGATGGCGACTCTGACATCATGTGACAGCAGAGGAGTCTCCATTGTACTGTTGGCTGTAATTAACTTTTTATCTGCTGTCTGGGAGACAAATTGGCTCTCGTTAGTAATAAATCTGTCTCATCTCTGCCCCTCCCTCCATCATGCCTCCTCTTTACCTCTTCTGCTTTTTACTGTTACTTCACCTCCTTTAACTTCCTCCCTCTGCGTCCCTCCCGTCTGCACCCATCCATCTCTCCTCCCCTCCAGGTGATGAGCAGTAAACTGGACATCGACAACATGGCGGGGGTCTTTTACATGCTGCTCGTGGCCATGGGCCTCAGCCTCTTGGTTTTCGCCTGGGAGCATCTGGTGTACTGGAAGTTACGGCACTGCGTGAAGAGATCCGGTGGGATGGACTTCCTTCTGGCTCTCAGCAGGGTGAGGCACAGAGACCCCACACTCCCGATACACCTCAACAACAATCCCAGTTTAATGGGTTTCAATATACGCAGACAGAAAAGAGTGGGACCAAAGAATGAGGCGTGAGGAACAACTCACGCTCACTACTTCAGACTGAAGTAAATCCAGAGCGTCACAGCTCAAACCTCCGCCTTTCTGTCAGTGTGACTCTATTCAAGATCCATGAATCATTCCCTCGGAAACATTTTATTAAAATGTATTGAAATGATCTCAGACCAAACCACATCCTTTCACCAAGTTTTATGGAAATCTGTTGAGTAACCTCGATCAACAAGTAAAGAGCGGGGGGGGAAACATGACCTCCTGCGCAGCAGTAATTGAAAACAATGTCCTCTCGTTATGGAAACTGTGAGAAACTGCATTGAATGCAGCTCTGAGGTCAGGAGGTGAATTTTCTGTTGTGCATTCGTTTTGTGAAGCGATTTCTCACCGAGCTGGATCCCAGATGGCAAGATTTCAAATTAGAACATACATCATTTAGAGAAACGGGTGCCCTTGTATAACCGCTGCATGAAATACATAAAACACCAGCTTCTGAAGGGTTTGCATTTCTTTGTTTTGGGTCCATCTATCCTCAGGATGGATGGAGAGGCACCAGAGTATAAATACTATCTCAGATATAAAACATTTTAAAAGTTCTGCCGGATGGTGAGAAAACCAAAGCGACTAAACTCTTGAGGCTTGACAGTTTTTTAAAAAATTTCCATTTTCAACCAAACACTACAGCAGCTGATTTCACAGATTCTTACCACTCTCTCCACCTGAGAAGTTAAAACTAATCAGCGAAACAAGCTCCAGATTCACAATCCAGTGCTCGAGGAGTCAGTGATTTATGCAGGAGCAGATGTGATGATGGACGGAAACACGGCGACACTTGCCTCTTGTTCCTGCGCGCAATTTAGAAAGTGAAGATCTTACCTCATTCATTGCAGCCATGAGGTCCACTTCAACAAAATAAGAGTCAAAGATGAAGCCAATTTTCAGGCACAATCAAGATATGGATTGCACTAAAGTAGGTGCCACTCTGTGTCGGAGCTTGTTTCTGGCACTCAGCAGGGACGAGGAGATAAAAAGTAAAAAGAGGAACATCGCTCGTGTTTATCTTTGGCAGCAAACCAAGGGGAGCCCGCTGGGTCCGAGGCAGAGCGATCACTTAGCTGTCGCACAGCTATTTTAGAGCCAATACACTTTCTGTCGCCCAGATCAGGGTCCTGGAAATATTTAGTACAGATCCCGAGGAGGACTTACAGGGGTCGGGGTGAAGAAGAGCGAGGGAGTGGATAAGAAAGAGGAAAGTAATGAAAGAAGGTGGGGGACGAAACCACTGGAAAGAAGGGAACAAGGTCAGAGGAGGAGGAATCAACGAAGGGATTAGAAATAAACACATGGGGCGATAAGGGAGGGGAAGTGAGGAAGTTGTGGATGGAAACTTTGAGATAAGAACAGAAGGAAAAGGGCAACTGAGGAGAAAGCTGTGGGTTTGGGTTGAGGAGGCACTGGAGTACAGTAGATGATGATGGGGGGACAAAGGGAAGGACGGACATATCAGGGACGGACAGGAAGAGATGTCAGACGGCGCTGTGATGGAACGCCCGGCGTGTGAGTGACACCTGTTGTAAAGGTGACGCCACCATGTCGGAGTGACAACATGTGATTTATTATCTCCTCCCGCCTGACGGAGCAGAGAAAATTGCTAATTTATGCACAGTGGAAGGATGTTCTAATTGCATTTTTAAAAAAAAGGGGGAGAGGAAATAACATTACAGCTCTCACCTGTGACATTATGCTTCCAGCACATGAGCGGACTCTTTAACTCAATCAAGCCTCATTTCACCTGCGAGATGCAGGATTATTGCTTTTCTCCAGGAAAATCATTCATTCACACTTCGCACGATATCAGGAGACTTTTTCACTCACAAGGGTCGTTTGAGTTTTAAGAACATCCCTTGAAGGCCAAATTATTAACCTCACACGCTAACCTCTGTACTGCGATGGATAAATGCTTCTCGTCGGTGCTGCGTCTGATGTCAGATGGCAGCGACGACGTTGATGAGGCTACTCACAATTTGGATTTAGCCAAAACGACGTGTTTAAACAAATCTTCAGGTTTGTTGGAGCCGTGCTCGTCTTCTAGAGACTGAAAAACGGTTTGTCACAGAAGTGCAATTAATCCTGGGATGGTTTGGAGCCCTCGTTTCCTCTGGGGTGAAAAGATGCATTTGACGGAGCCGGCGCCCGAGACACGCCTCCGTGACATAATCTCTTATATCTTCGCTGTTGAACTTTCCAGCAGAGCCTTTGGAGAACCACTGCACCTCCGTGCATACAGTCGGAGCATATTTTCTTACTTGAGCAAACTCTGCTCTTATCTGTAGCATTCCTCATTTTGAGAGTCAAAACATCAATTCCAATGCAAAGGGCACTCCCAAGGCCAGTTAGCCTCTATCTCCCACCTTATGTGCTGCACTCGCTGTAAAGCCTCTGCAGCTGGCCTCTGTGGTTTCTTCAACCCAGTCAGTTACTCACCCAGGTTTCAATTTCACAGTGCGCTGCGCCCTGTGCTCTGGGGACTGTGATATCACTGCTGCCGCTGGGACTGCTGAATCATGTGTCCTGAATATTACAGTCTGCCCATCAGGTCTGTGTCCCGCTGGGGAACACAGACTTATACATTTTGTCATTAAGATGTGAAAGATAATCGGTGGATATTATGAATTATCTCCACGTATGAGGATTATGAGTCTATGGAATTGACATGGCCTCTCCTCACCGCAGATGGAGTGCCCTCTATCTGCGGAGAGGTGCAAATATACAGAAGTTAGAAGAAAGAGCATCCGGAGAAAGAGTCGCTCAACTTACACAGATTTATGTTTAATTAATTCTGCACGTGGTTCTATTGAAAGAGGTTCGTAATTTACACGTTTCATTTCATGGTTTATTCATGTCGAGCTTTGTCGACTGCTGCTGCCCAGACGGAAAAAGCCAGACTGGTGTTTAAAGGGTGTTTGGAGCCGTTCATTAAAACCAAGTGAGAATGAGAATCTTATTTCAAGTGGCAACAAATAACGTCACCAAGTAAATGAGTCTCATTTCCCCAAGTCAGACTGAAAATTCACAATTTGGTGTTGGTGAGGATGGAGATGCATCCTGACATCAGGGACACAGCATCACAAGGTTTGAGCTGATGCACTCACTCAAAGATTGAGTGTTAAATTTAAGTCAAAGAAATTACGAGTTTGTGAGCTGGGAACTAGAATAACGTACAAGGAGGATTGTTGGTTAAATGTGTGTATATATGTAGAGGCTTATAAATAAATGTAGAGACTCAAGAAGGAGTTAACCTTCTGAAATCAAACTGAATTCTCAAGATTAAAAACACATTTTACAAGAAAAGATCATTATCATACATTTGTGAGGAAGTAACACATTTAACAGACGGAAAAAAAAAATTCATGAATCTATTTTGAAAAATGTGTTGAAGTATGCGGCTGCAGCAGCAGCAGCTCACTTGTCACTAAGCAGGACAATGCGATAATGTTTCCGCAGCAGTCCGAGTAAAGTTTTCAAGATTCAGTTCAGATTAAAGAAACCAAACATTTCACTCTGAACTCGTTCACCGGGAAACAACAGAACTCATCGAGCTTGTTTTTGCCGTGGTACGGTTTGGGAGGAAGAGGCGATCCTCTTCAAATGCAGCATCTGCCACACTTTGTCTCACTTGTACAATGACAAAATAGGTTTTACTGCTTTTGCTCTCCCCCGTTGTTTTAACTCCTCCGCAGGAATATATACTTATTGCACCGATCTCCCTCTGCAATTGCTGCGATGCCTTGTTTGCTCAAAGCTCTGTTTGGTTTGATAGTGTGGACAGTGACACTCCAGGTGTCTTGGTAAGCTCTGACTAAAGTTTCTCCACGACTCTCATTAATATTAATGGTCTGCGCTCCCTGTTGTCAACCTTTAAAGGAGATATGGTGACACACGGACCCGGAGGTAGAAGGAAACCACCAGGAGTGATTCCCTTGAATTTTTAGTGGGAGAATAAAGTTCCCCCAAAAGTGTAGTTTTTGTAGAATGTGTGAACGTTACACAGTCGGTGGTTGTGCAAGGAACTGAATAAAGATAAAGGAAAAGGATAGGAGATGCTGTAGAAGTTGTAGCCCTGACAAGTGAAAGCTTCCCTTGATGCATTAGCCTGTCACAGGTTTAACTGGAACCTCTGCAACGTATTTATAGGAGCTGTATAATTGTGGCTTCAGCACACGATTGTTTTTCATTAAGACACATATAAAAAGAATGACTCCTATGTCTCCAGCTGGATTTACATTTTCTTACAATTTTAGGTTAAGGGGAATTATAAAATAGTCGTCTTTAAAAATTATTTTTCACAACTTAGGGTTATGACGAGAGAGGTGATGTTACAGGAATATTTTGATGCAATAAAAACTTTCTGCACAGTATTTTACAAGTTTCTTTTTCCAAATCAGTAAAGTCCTTCTTTCTTTTGCTCTGACACATACACACAGTTCTACCTTTTCACACTTGGCAGCCTGCTGCTCTAATTACAATCTCCCTTCATCTCTCCTCCCAGGGAATGTACAGTTGCTGCCAGTTTGAGGATGAGACCACACCAGGAGGCAGCAAAAGCTCTTTGCCCCAGTATCACACTGTGACCACCATGCCTACTGCAGCTCAGCAACATCTTGTGACAGCCACGGTAAACAACACGACGGCCATTGCCATGGTGCAGCAGCAGCAACAGCAGCAGAAGCACCACCAGCAGCAGCAACAAGGGCAGACCTATACCACCATGCTACCCGGGTCACCTCCAACTACAGGACACTCAGCGATGGCTCTGGGTCCCTCGAACAGCCCCTTATTGGAAGGCCCCATGCCTTGCTCCACCTTCTTACCTCGCCATGACCGTAGACTTGCTGTCGTGGATCGCTGGAACAGGCCAAAGCCGGAGAAAGTAATGACCGCAGGCAGCGGTGGTGGAGTGGGCATTGGGGGAATAGCAGGAGGGATCACTGAACTCCAGGCCCAGCAGCAGTACCAGCAGAATCTTGGACAGCACTGGAGCTTGCAAGGGGGAGTTGCAGGTGGAGCAGGGGCAGCAAGTGACACAGGGCTAGATGAATATAAGCGCTACTATGGTCCTATAGATCCAGAGGGGCTAGGGACTAACTCTGACCAACAGGCAGGGGGCCCCCAACAGACTCCCAAAGCTAATCCACGAGGCCCCAAAGCCTCAGGGATGCCACGGCTGCCTCCTAAAGGCCCCCCACAAGGCCCAACACACTTAATCTCCAAGCCTCCTCCACCACTCCCATCTTCTCCTCGAAGGCCTCCCTTCTGGCGACGAGGAAGCTTAGCTCAGGCAAGGAGAAAAAGCTCAGGAGGTCCACTGTATGAGAATATACTCCCTCTCGGGAGGCGAGGAGGAGGCAGGTATGGAGCAAGTGATGGAGCTGGAAGAAGAGGCCGGCGTCCTCCACCTCCTCCTCCATTACCTGTCCCCCTTTCCTCCCCAACACACACACCTACCACTCCCTCCTCCCCATGCCGTTTTTACTCCTCCTGCTCCAGTGCCTCGTCCTCTTCCTCTTCCTCCACATCATCCTCATCATCTTCCTCATCCTCTGCTTCTCTCTCCCGGTCCAATTCTCCCTCCGTTTGCTCCAGTGACAGCTCTTACAACTCCTCACTGAGTTTCCGGTATCGCGCAGGTGATCGAGATTTTACAGTGGATGAAGATTATGACTCAGACCTGCTTACAGAGGAGTCCAGCCTCCTCCTGGGTTCACGGAGGAAAATTCGTTCACGGCGCATGTCATCACGCTCTTTGCCATGCAGCCCGCCACCTCCACCAATCCCTCCACGGAAGCCACGTCCTCAGCGAGATTATGGCAGAGAGAGGACTGGCAGCCAGCTCGCCCAATTACAGGAGTGGTGGGCATCATGGGGGGACAGGGAGAGAGGGAGGGGAGCGATAACTAACCGGGGAGATGGAGGAGTGGGAAGGGAAGAGAAGAGACACCACAAAGAGAGGGAGCGTGAAAGGAAGAGGAGGAAGAAGGGTCGAAAGAAGAAGAAGAGGGAGGAGAGGGAAAGAGAAAGGGAGCGAAAGCGGCGTAAAGCAAAGAAGAAGAGGAAGAAAGATGATAAAATAAGGAAGAGAGAGAGAAAGAGGTCTGAGCAGGAGGGCGGAGATCCTGAAAAAAGAGAGGAACTAAAATCAGGGACACTAGACTACCCATCATACCCATCTCTGAGAAGAGAGTCCTTTCGGAAAAAGAGTGAAAGCTCCATCAGAAGCTATGGATGGAATATCCCAGGCGAGGAAGAGAGAAGGGAAGAGAAAGAGAGGGATGAAGAGGACAGCAGAGGAAAGGAGAAGCACCACCGACGAAGGAACAGCAAGCACTACCATGGCTCTAGCACTAAGCCTTCGACATCTGTAAAGTTCTGGGGAGGGGGAAACCCATCCTCTGACATTATTCCATCTGCCTTCCTGCCTTTGTTGCCTGTCTCCTCTAAAAGGAGGAAGAGTAAAAGTTCTGACAGGGATGCTGTAGGAATCGAAGGGGAGAGGAGGCCTTTGTTGGGAAGGGACGGGAGAGGTGAGATGCATTCCAAAGAGGGGTTGTCCATTCACGAATGGGAGTCCGATGGAGAGGATGACGAAGAAGATTCTGAGCAGGAGAGGAGGAAATCGGGGGGGCGTGGGAAGCGGCGTGGAGGTGGAAGGACAATGTCCGATGAGGAGCGGGAACGTGATAAGGTTGTTGGGATATATTCTGACGATGATGCTTCTTCTGGAGAGTTTGGAAAGTTTGAGAGGTACTGGGAGGATCATGAAGGAAGGGCAGTCGGAGGGATTGGAGGGGGAGGTTGGTTTTTCAGCACCTACCCCTCCAGGGATAAAGCTGGCAGCATCAACAGTAGAGATGACCTGTTCCTGGAGCGGGGAGAGAGGTGGGGAACAGCAGAGGTTGGTTGGGGGACCAGTGGTGGAGGAGGAGGAGGAGAAGGAGGTGAAAGAAGTTGGGGATCTGGATCGCACTGGCCCCCTCCTCCTCTTACCCCACCACCTCCCAGGCGATACTGGTCAGTGGATAAACTCCACATACAGGATGAAAAGAAGAGTAAACGCAAGTCAAAGGACAAGGGCAGAGGGCACGCAGCTTATTCCTCCTGTCACTCTCCCCGACATCATCCGCACCCCCATTCGTCAAAATGGGCCCGTGTTACCTCAAGAAGCCAGGAAGAGTTGTACCACCATTGCCAGAGTTTCGGTGGCCCCCTGAAGCCCAAACATGACTCCTCCTCATCCTCCAAGCCAGACCGCTCACAGAATCCATCTAAATCTGGCAGTCAGTCGAACCTCATTATCCAGCAGAGGACACAGAGAACAGACAGGGATAGAGGAAGGCAACAGTCCCCACCCCCAACCCTCTTACCTAACTTGCCACCCCCACTCCCTGCCCTCCCAGCTCCTCCGTCCTCATCTCACCCTATCCATGTTCCTCCCCCTACCTCGTCCTCTTCTGTATCTTCTCCCTCTGTGGTCTCATCCACCCCGGGGGCACTTCAGTCCTCCTCCATGGCTTCGGCAAGTGCCAAACTGCAGTACCAGAGATTGCGCTCTGTACCCCAGCCCCAGAGGTTTCCTCAGTCTCCCCACTTACCACTTAAAGCCAAGAGCCTTTGCTCCCGAAGGGGCTCGGCCCATTTCTCCAGTGTGGAGAGTGAGGTCTGAAGTTCAACAAGGTATTAAAAGTCATACGAGAGCAAAACAGACACTCTGGTGATCTGGATCAGAATCAGCAAACCTGGCTATCTTGCCGAGTTGGTACAGTACACGCACTGAGCCCTTTCCTAAAGTTCTGCACAAACAAACCAGAAAGCCAAACTCACCCAATGGGTAGGTCAAAGCAAAACAGGAGCAATCCTGTGCTCACTGTAGTTATCTTTCATTCCTGTGAGTATGTGAAAGACTTCAACCGCCGTGACAGTGTATTCTGAACTGGGTAAAACTAATACACTTAAAGTAACTCAGACATTGAAGTGGTACAACTAAGAGAGAGCCCTTTGCTTTGGATGTTGAAGCAGAGCAGTTTGTATACAGAGGATTCTTAATGCTTACTGAGGGCTCAGGAACTTTGTAGTACTGTATGCCTGCTGCTCTCGGAAGCCTTTAACACAGAACAGTGTTGTTATTTTTTTCGCTTAAACAAATTGCTTACCCCCACTTTCATTTTTCCTTAACAAACTGTTTACACCCCCGCAGAACTGTGACGCCCGCCCAAGGCATTTTTGTTTTTGTATGATCAACACCTTCTTGTCCAGATGGAGAAGAGGGTGATTACCACTTTGTCTTTTTTGTGTTACCCATGCACGTTCTCTTCTTCTCCTCTGTTTTGTTCTCCGCTATCCTATGCCCTCGTTTTCTCTCCTCCCCTTACTTTCTCCGTCCTTACCTAATTTCACACCTTATTCACACGTCTATCTTCTCATCTCCTTCCCTGCTCTCCCCTCTTGGCTCCTCTCCTTGATGTGATTATTCTGTGTGTCTGTGCTTTTCTGTGTTTGTATTCTTGACGACAGGGTAAGTCAACTGTGACTGATATTCTACTGGCTTAATGAAAAGCTGAGTGCCAAACCTAAGTAGAGCTCGACATCAATCTGTTAAACGATAGCTGCTGTGTTTTCTTTTATCTCGCAGAGCAATCCGTCATCTCCCAAAAATGTGCACATGCAAATACACACATAAAGGTGCACACACAAACTTACATACGTGCACAACACCCACCCATTAAGTCAACTCATCTATTCTATTTCTTGAGCAATACATTTTTCACCCTCTGTTCACATTTTATACTTTAAAACTTTTGTTTGACCTCTGTGTTGTAGTTGTTGTTGTTATTGGTGGTGTTCCATATATCACGACATGTATTGAGTTGATACAATGTTAGCACTGTGCCGTACGACTCAAACTTGGGTGCACACGAAAAGTTCTCTCAACTACCTAACTACGAAAATGGAGGCGGTGTGAGTTCCCTCCCCGTATTTGTCTGAATGTAAAGTCAGCCGACCACAAGCCAACAAGTGTGCTGCAACAACAATCAAGACACTTGAAGATGGGAATCGTAGCATTTCTGAAGGTTAGGAAAAGAGTTGTCTTACACAGTCGGCTGTGAACAACAGGACGCAAACCGTACAGTGTCAGTAGTGAGTGGAGGATTAAAGCTACAGAGGGGTTATAGTTAGAAATACATTTTATATCTGTTCGACTTCATTGTGACTGACGCGTTCGGTGGAGCTGCAGTTGTTGGACAAGGTGTAAGAAGTTGCAGGGAAACAAATACTTTGAGCCTTATGCTAATCGCTCCTGCCATATGGTTTGTGTAAAGTATGACTATGAAAGTGTGTGTTTTCATTATCATTTCTGCCGTTAGCGTCACGCTAGCAAGGCAGTGTGATCGTATGGGAAGGACTAAGTTTGATGCAACATTAGATCTCGTGTGAGTGCTGTTTTGAGACTGTGCCTGTGGTGGATGCTAAGTAACAGATGAGGCAGCTCAGAGAAGTAGTGCTGAATCTGACAGACGGCGTACGAAGGCAGCAGTAGCACCCCCATGTTTTTAAGAAGGATTTCTCACCTTGTAAATGCGTAACCAAGAGCTACAGCTTTTTAATCCATCACCGAGCTGACACCAGCAGTTACACTCCGATGTCAAGCACTTAGCTCGAGTCCAAGTAGCCAGTTGTGACCACCATCATTAGAATCCAGCATCAGGACACTGGACGTCAGTGGAGTTTTAGTGCAGAGGCCGGAGCCACTGGCTCAAAGCTGTTTTCAGCCGCTCACATTTCCTGAGCCATCTTTCCCATTAACACTGGTCAGCTCATGTTATTTGCCTGGATCTGCATCTGAGCCATAACTTACTTCAGCCGAAGAAAACAAAAGAGAACCTTAGTTTTTAACATAAACTTGTTGTGTAGAGTTTTGTCCGACTTTCTTTAAGAAAAAAAATCGACATATATATATCATATATATATATATATATATATATTTGTGGCGGTGGGTAGCGTTAGAGAAAATTGTTGTTTAGAATCTTGCCATTTGGGGATATTGTTTCTCATTCCAAGTACATTACAAATATGATATAAATATGATGTGTTATGACGCATATTCCATCAAAGTCACTGGCAACAGGGAAACTCTTCAGTTCAAATGACAGATTTTCTTTCTTCAAACAAGATTTTACTTGTATTGAGCCAAAACGGAGACAGGTCAGTGCTTTGCTAATTAAAACCAATTGTCGACAGCGTGGTCAAATTTCTGACAAACCAGGAAGAGCGTGAATAAGTGTGACATGTTTCTGTTCCTTCACACCGCGAGCAACTCAAGTCTGTTGAGAACAACTAACTTTTGTATTGAACGTGGGCCCCAGTTGAACCATTTGGACTCGTGCCTTTCTCAGTGTCAAACCTGTTCCTGAAAAAGAATCTGTCGACAAGTGCAAACGGCTGATTGTATGTTAGCGCAGCAGCTGCTAGCGGTGTGAACACAGCTCGGAGTTTCTTCAGTGAAATTAGTCACCGATCTCCCCGCGCCTCTTTTTCCTCATGTCTATCCATTGTGTTGTGTGCGTGTCTGCAAATGTAAAGCTGGTCTGTTTTTAAAAAAAAAGAAGAGTATCTGTGGATATATCTATTTCATCAAAAAAAAAAAAAGAGCATATCTAAATACATATGAAAGTATATTTCAAGACGCTAAGATCTATGTTATATAAGTTTGTCTACTAAATTTACGATATTATCTCAATGAATATGTCTTTTTTGTCTGTTTGTCTGTGTCTTCTTGTCTCAAACCTCCTGCCCAGCCCCCTACACCCCCCAGCGAAATCAGAGACCAGTATGTAACTGTGTTTTCTCTCACTTAAGACCGACCATCCGCCTCCATTAGCTATCTACTGTAGCTAACGCTGAGATTTCAACAGAGTGACAACGTGGAGGAGTGCGCGAGTGTCTTATGACCGTGTCACTGTAGCAGTCGTGGTGTTTGTCTACACAGAGGGGCCTTTATTTTTGGTTTGGGCTACAGATTAATGACTAATTAAACTTTTATGGATACAGCAGCTTTTACCACAACTCTCACTTGTGTCGGGGTCGAACCCGGCGTTTATACTGCAGTGTACAGCGACCTCTTTGAAACACAACGTAGAGAGCAGCACAGGCTTTTTGTCATTTCTCAGTAGCTGTATTACGATTAAAAAAACATGCACAGCTACCCCTGCCAACCAACCCATATGGTATATATAAGAACTTTGATATACGTACATAGTGTGTTGTATCTGCCAAGCTGCTGTGCTGTAAAAACAAAAGAAGAAAAAAGGAATTATATAAAACAAACACACAGTTTCTTTCTTAATTTTACAAAACTGCTGAAACGAATCAGGCACACGGGGCAGGGTTCGGTCTGCTCGCTACAGTGTGGTTGCCTCTGAGGCCAAAAATGGCCACACCAGGGCTTTCTTTTGATTCAACGAGTCAAACAGTCTTTCAGCTGGAACGATTCCCGAAGGGTCAGCTGGAATCCTCATTGGTTAGAAGCAACACTGCCTCAGACGGGAGACCCCCCCCCCTCTGACCGACCTGCACCCTCACGTGCATCAATTTAAATCAGTTGAGGCAAAAGTGAAAAGAGTTTTCCGATCTCTGAAGCATCAACTGGCCCCGAGCCCTGGTCCAGTTTGAGCCTGCAGTGGAAACACATCCACAGTTTCTGCCTGTACACCTCTGTCTCAAGGCCTTGTATTAATACTGCTGTACTGAGTGACTGTACGGGATGATGGCTGGTTGTGCGACACCGTATTGTCACCTCACACACACACACACACACACACACAGACTCACACACGTACAAACACACACACACACACATGTACGCACGTGATGACAATACTGTGTTGTACCGCGACCAGGACAGAATTAAAACGATTTTATTAAAGAACTGAAACAAAACTCATGAGTTTTTTTATTTGGCTGGTTGATTTGTCCTGAGATAAAGAGAAGGCTGCAGCTGATCCGTTCTGAGATTAATGAGATTCAAAGAAATGTTAATGTGTGAAGAGAGTGTTTCATGAAATCCAGGGTTACACACATTACACGTGAATAACAGCGAGAAATCAAATTTGACCATTGCTGTCTCCCTAAAATATGTGGCGCTCGGTAACGAAACGATGATGAGCCTGCGAAACAAAATTAAAAATAAAACATGGGGAAGATAAGACTCCGGCTGCAGAAATAAAAGAGACGAAGAATGAAATGGAAAAAGATTTGGGACAAAAGGCTGAAAAAGAACAAAGTAAAGACGCCAGAGAGAGACGAGGGACGGGCCGGATGGAGACACCGATAGAATAAAGACGGAGAGAGAGAAAGGTGAAGGGAGGGAAAGACGGAGAGAGGAGCCGGCGTCGGGTCCTTGTAGCGTCTGCGGGGCAAGATAGAGCCGGTTGTCATTTCTGCCAACAATGGGCCTCCGCTGAGCGCGGTGTGTATTAGCTGCCGATATGGACAAATCTCTCTCACACACACACACACACACACACACACACACACACACACACACACACACACACACAGCAGGACTGTCCCTCTAATGCTTCCTCCACCTGCTGGTTCACAGTCCTTTAATTAGACGAGGTTCTGAGAGTTCAAACATGTTGACTCTAAATGAGATTTTACCACAGAGCACACACACACACACAGTGATTTCTGCTGTCATACCCGTGTACTCTGTGATTAATGCCTCCGCTTAATGTCTCCCCTGGGAGCGCACACACCTGCGCACACGCGTGTCAACACATAGACCCACAGCACTGTGCGGAACACGTGAAGGGTAGTAAAATGTCAGGGTCACAGTTCATCAAGATGGAGCTCTACCCCCAGAGGAGCCGCTGTCACATTTACGAGCCGCCGTTTAAAACTGCTCGACGGATCTGGTGCCGCTGTCGTTCTGAACTGCAGCAGCGGTAAATGCTAACGTGTGTTAATACATTCGCTGCTGGCATTAGAGGACGACTGTGGACAAAGAATACACGCATCGTTTACATGCATGTCCAAGGAGACGTCACGCGGCTTTACAACATGTGTTAACAGGTATTAACAGGACACGGTGGCACCGTGCCGCAGGAGGTTGGATCTAGAAGTCACATGAGCTGTGTGCACTGAACTCTGGGTATTCTCCAGAACTTATCCTTGTCCGATTTTTCCAGCGAAACCTCCGTAGAATGTCAGAGTGAGTCCGTGTGAGAAAACAGCAGGACAACATCTGGAAGCGTGTTGATGAGGTTTCTAACATGAGAGGAGCCGCACACGTAGGGGACGAAGACTTGCACGTCATGTCCCGCCTCCTGCTGCTCTCCAGGCTCCGCCCCTCGCCTGAATGTCCCCCACGTGTTCCTGTTGTTGCTTCACACGTTCATTAATTACTTCCTGTCAGAAAAACGTCTTTAGCTGCAGAGTAGAAAACCCTGAAGATGGTGGCACACGCGTGTCCAGAATGTAAACGTCTCTCACACATGCATGTTGTTCCTCGTCCACCCTCCTCTTCTTTCACTTTTCACATTAACGCTCATAAAAAGGGCATTTTTCCCATCAGCCATCACTGCCCGGAGGGTCCGTTAAAGTGAGGAATGATCAGGTGGACGCTGCTCCAGAAGAATCGCTGTGAGAAATGGCCTCACACACACACACACACACACATGTGCAGGCTCACACCACCGTGATGTATGAAGAACCTCCCGAGGCGTCGTACATTAGCGAGCCTGTGTCTGAGTTATGGGGGAGAGCTCGGGGTCGTATTGACTCTCTGCAGTGAGGTGAGTCCAGGTTCACCTCTCTGAGGACACGTGCACGGCCACACACACACGCACAGCTGACCTCAACATCCAGCCCCTTGGATTTATATCGTACAGACGGATGAGACGCCGGGTTTCCGCTCATAAAGACGCTAAAAAAGAATTGATGTGAATCCTCCGTGTTGTGCCGACCCGCTCCGTGCTTCGGTCCACGTCTGAGCTGCGTCTCACAGAAGAAGAAGCAGCTGACCAATCAGAGCGTTCAGTGAGAGTAAGGGGACGGACATCTTTTACACGCATGAAAACTTTATTAAGAAGAATTCGAGGGATAACGCAGCTGGTTTGAATTCAGATTTTTTTTTTTAACATTGTAGTAAATCTGTCATTGATGCTGATGAGTGAGTGAGCGGCTCGTGTGCATCACATTCACTCATTCATCAGGTTTAATCAGCCTGCAGGAGAGAATCACCTTTTCACCACGGCGTCAATCAGACGTCCCAAACGGGACACTTCCTGTTTCAAAATAAAACCACTCTCACCTTTCTGAATCCAGGTGTCGTTGTCAGAGCAGAACCAGCAGCTGCAGAGTTCTGACTTCAGTTGCATGTACTTTTATCTCAGAACGAACAGAAGCCTCATTCTGCCGGTGCCGGTGTTCCGTCTGTTGAATCTGCGTCTGTAACATTTCAGAGGATTTGTATGAAATAAACACGGACAGAAGACTTTGACCTTTTCTGGACACAAATCCATCGTTGAACAAAAAGAGAGTCTGTTCAGATGCGGCGGCCGGTTCCTGTTCTCCCTCTTCAGCGGCGGTGCAGTGATGTTTCCTGCGCTCTGCTGGTTCTGCTGCAGAGAGAACGTGTTCTCTTTAATCATAATTATTGAGCTAATGATTAATTGATGTGAAACACTGCACGCTGCACCTTCACCTTCTATCTCCTCCCTTTCATCTGCGTCTCCATAAATGTCCCCGAAGGGCTTAATAAACTGTGATCTTCTCTTAATAGGTGCAATCACAATAACAACAGACACTTTAATTAACTGCTTGATGGAAACAGCATATGCTACATTATATACTGCCGCTGTCGCCAGCTGTTTGGATATGCAGTCGTAATCTATAGTTTTCTTTTCTGTGCACGTCCTCAGACTCGTGACAATCATGCAAATATCTGCTCACACTCAACGCCCCCACGCTCACCTGCTGCTCGAGTGCTGCACAGATACGACCGTACGACATATCGATGGATTTACAGATGTTATTAAGAGTGTGTCTTCCTCGCTGACCTGCTGACGGTCATCAGCTCGTGCTGAGCAGCCAAATGTTCTTCAAACGCAGACATTTGTAAAGTTGCTGAATAATTCAGGAGGCAAACAAAGGAGCTGGAGATTTTCACTGTGTCTTTATAAACAGCAGGAACGAGTGAGACTGCACGAAATAATACGATGCAACAGTTCTGCTGTTCTACTTTATTACTCTTTGACACATCCTGCTGTCAAATCTACTGATCTGTTCACTGCACGTTTACACTGATTACACACACACACACAGACACGTGTGTGTGTGTGTGACCATGTTCATGTAACCCTCCTGTGTGCATGTTTGTCTCTTTGTGCTCATGAAAGTGTATCTATTCAATCTTGTGTTTGTTGAGTCTCCCCCTCTCTCTCTCTCTCTCTCTCTCTCTCTCTCTCTCTCTCTCTCTCTATCAGCCTGTGTGCCTGGAATACGAGGCAGTGCATCATGGGAGAAGGGGAGGTCGCTCCCCGTATCCAGGGGCAACGCAGGTAACAGGAGAATAAGCAGAGACGACTCTGCTGCGTTCACGATTCATGACAAATGTATAAAAACACATAACGTCACAGGTTTGAATCCACACTCCGAGTTTCTCTGATCACTTCCTGTCTGGTGCATTGACCAGGGAGGTCTCCTGAGTCCTGACGGGTTGAACCTGCACGTTGTTGTTACTCGACTCTGCTGTTGACTCACACATTGTCACTTTCTCTCTCAACCCAGAGATTTAAATTTGACTGAGTACCTCTCAGGAGACTCATCGTTGATTTGCACAAATCGAAATCGATCTGACGAATAAGATTTCAGTATTGAGCAGCTGTTTCTCCAGCTGATAGTCGAGGGGCCGCGCTCACACATTCATCCAGTCGACTCTGATCTTAACCGTGTTCAGTGTGGTCGTTCAGTGACATCACTCGATCCGCGGTGTGTCCCTCCTTCCTGCAGGAGGTCATCTGGAAACACGTTGGTTGTCTTTACTCGGAGAAATGAAATCTCCTCCGTGAGAGTGAACCGATGTCTGGTGTCAAATCTTTGCCGTGGAGAAGAACGTGATCTTTACTCTGAACGTCTGATCATAAAAGAGTCTGTTGTAATGTTTTGGTGGAGATCTTAAGTATTTTTCATGCAGAGAAAGTTTCTCCTCTAAACAACTTTTAAAAGTTTTAGGTTTTTCTAAGGATTTAATGAGGTCGTTCACGCAAATATGTAAATTTGGATTTTCACCTTTTTTTCTCCTCGTCGCTCACTGACCCTCATTTTCTATTCATGCAGTAGAACGTCCTCAGGGATCAATACGTTCGTCTCAACTCCACCGAACACACTTTTTATCCTGTTTATCATATTTTATTTAAATTAATTTTACTTTACTGTACTTTCTGCTCAAACTTATTATTTATGTGCTCCTGTTCCACCTCGAGGCGACCGCACCGCAGAACCCTGATCCGAACGGGAGCAGAAGTGGAAATGTCTCCACAGATACAAACATTTTTACTACATGCATATAAATAATACACGTTATTTACTCGTACGTTGTTTTTTCTATCCAGCAGAAAACAGGAAGAAATAAAAGCTGTCACCTCGTTCTCGTGTCTGCACATGTTTCACGGTTCATGTTTTCCAAAATAAATCCTTTGCTCCTCGGTGTTTTACTGAAAGTTTGTATTTTAATATGAATATAAAGATTTCATGCATGTTAGTGTGATCATGTCTCGTGTCAACATCACGCAACACGTCAACACTCAGACCCAGGTCACGTGTTGTCGTGTGATATGAAAACTCCAACAGGACGTTATTATTCGATTAAGACGTAAATACAGTAACGTCGACATGATCTAACTCCACA